TTTACCTGTTTCCCCTTAACCCACCTGACTCAGCGCTAAGTCTGTCCTTTCCTCAAAGATAACTTAGAAAGAATAAACCAGAGTTTTCACTCAGTGCCTATTTATTTTTATCTTCTAGATCCTTAAGTCAGGAAAAGTTTTCCTCAGGGCTCAGATTCTGTCTGCTAAATTTTTAGTTAATGACTTCCTTATGAATCTTCTGCCAAAATGAAATAGTCTTGTTATGAATTGCGGTGGTACAAGTAGTGATGAGAACAACTTACAACTCCAGAAACATGTTATTTCACTAGTACTTTCTTAGACACTGAACATTTTTTTTCAACTTAAAGACAAACTCATTATAGTCCTAGCAGTAACAATGTGAGTCAGCCACCTCTCACCAATTTATTTCAAAATCAGTTCTTAAAGATTGTTTTCTACTGTGTTCAAATCCTGTTCACAGGATTTGTGTGTTCACACAACACAACCCTGTATGTGTTGTATATCCTTCTTCGGAATTGTACTCTCCCCGAGGCGACCGGTGCATAAGTAGACAACACACACACACACACACACACGGAACATCTACATATGTTAGAGTCAGGCTATCACCTTAAGTCCACCCCCCCAAAAAAAAACTGGGTAAAGGAAATAGCTGAAGACAAGAGGGTAATAAAGCTATTATATACATACAAACACACTACATATATATATATATGTGTGTGTGTGTGTGTGTGTGTGTATAGCGTGTTATGTATATACACACAGTTGGCCCTCCATAGCTGTGAGTTCCAAATCTGCAGAGTCCACCAATTGTGGATCGTGTACTACGTTTATGATGCATGGTTGAATCTGTGGATGCACAGCTGCAGATACAGAGGGCTGACTATAGGACTTGAGCATCTATGGATTTCGGTCCTGGAACCAAGTCCCCGTGGATACCAAGGGACGACTGTATACATCCTTCTCCATAAATTGTAATGTACCTAAATGGAATTTTAATATAAATGTAACCATTTCCAGTAATAACAGAAGTCTAATTCATTCTGTTTGTTCATTCTGTCTGCTCTCCCTGAAATTGACGGAGGTTGATGGCTCTCAGAAGCTTAAGGTGAAACTAAGAAAACCATGAGGAGCCCCAACCACCCAGGGCAGGTGGGGGTGGGTGCTGGATCAGGTGGAGCTCAGAGGGGGACGGGTCTCTTGACAGACACTGACTGGGTGCCATGGAGGGAGCATGAGCTGGGAAGGCGTTGTAGTTACATTCTTTTCTACCTCCCATATATTTTTTTTAATTAATCATCTCAGAATTTTGTCTCTCATTTACCTTTTTAAAGAACAAATTTTCAAAATTTTTATTCTTGGTTAATCATTTATTTTGTCTGTATTATTTCTCTTCCCTCTTGTTTCTTTGGTCTCCACTTTAGGATTCTTTTTCCAGTTTATCAAATGGAATGCTTTATTTGTATACAATCATTTCTCTCTTGATAAACATTTAGAGTCATAAGTCATTCTGTGAATACCACTTCAGCAGTTTCCTGCAAATTCTGATAAATAGTATTCTCAGGTCTAAGAATTTCAAATCCACCCCCTCCTTTTTTTAGAGTACGTTAATTTAACATTGTAAACAGAATGTTAAAATTGAACTTTTCCTATCTCCAAGTTGACTGGGTTTTAAAGCTGAAAGCAGCTGATGCCTAGAAATACCTAGAACATGACAGCAATGCTTCAGGCCCTTTCACATACTGATTCTTAAGTGTTCCTAATGGGAAAGTAAACTGTGCAACACTGAGCAGAGCTGAAGCTGCATACAGACTCTGCGACATGGATGGAGACGTGCAGCAGGATTTTCACTGTGTTTTTAAATAATAAAATATTAGAACTCAGTATCAAAATGGAGGAATAAGTTATGGCATATTTGTACAATGAAAATATTCTGTACCAAACAAAATGACTTAAAATCTATAAATACATCAATATGAATGAACTTTAAAAATATGCTGCATGAAGTGGCAAGTTCTAAAAGTGTATGCATTGTACAATGCAGGTGATTAAAAAGTAAAAAGATAATATAAAGCAAAAATCTCATAAAGCAGTATGTATTGTTGTACTACTGAGTATGCTGGCACAGATAGAAAGACCTAATGCAAACAGCAACATGGTATTTCAGGCTGCTTGGCATCTTAGTGTTTTTCCTATAATGTTTATGCTTATTTAAGTTGGGGCACTTAATATATATTTAATAATGTTTAAATAAAAGCCTATCTTTATTTTTTGTTTCAATCTTTTTTAAAGAACAAAAACAAATGCTTTAAAATTAATTCTCAACCACATTTCCTTGTGAGTAAATTTTCAGCCGTATATATTTAATATGCATAGTCTCCCTCTAGTGTAGAATTTTTCATTTTATAAATGCTTTAAAAAGTAGATACCAAATTAAATCTCTCTGGGGCCTTTGCACTGGCCCTACGGGAAGACCCTGCGGCACGACGGAAAAGCACAGAGTTAGGATTCAAACCACAATCCCCACACTCGTTATCCTGAGTGACCTCAGATGAATATTTTAAACTCTGTGAGCTTCAGTTTACTCACCTGTTAAGCAACGGTGAGATTTAAAAGTTGTTGAGAGAATTAAAGATAATTTGACTACAGTATAAAGCACGTAGCAAGTATCAATATGAGCTGTTACCGACCTTATTATATGTTACATATTTATATGAAATATAGATTTATTACATCATTGCATTATTTTATAACCTCAGTTATAGCTGTTTGTATCAGAGATGATCTCTGAAGTAAATAAGGAGCCGTTCTTCCTAAGGAATTAATGAACACACACAAAATTTTCAGAATTAACAAGACAAACTGAGTAAGGTAAAGTATTTACTTTTTTAAGTGACTTAAAACCACCATTGTATTTGGCTCACATATTCTGTGAGTCAGGGATTTAAACTGAACCCAGTGGGGACAGCTTGTCTCTGTTGCACAGTGTCTGGAGATTCAGCTAGAAAGACTCAAAGCTGAATGTTTGAATGTTACTTTATTTTCTAAGTGACTTGGCTGAAAATTTTTTTAAAAGGGAGTCAGCTGCTCTGGGACATTTAAGAGCTAAGGTAGTATAAATAACCAGGAAAACTAGCAGCTGCCAAGTGAAGATCAAAAAATTAAGACAAATCCTTGAAAGGATAATAAAACCCAAATAAAAAATAAGAGTTGATTTTTGCTAAAGCGTTTTAAGAACTTGGCTATTACATAATGTGGTACATTTATTTTTGATCCTTGGAAAGAATATTTACTATCTTAGAAACAATCTCACATATCATGATATGTACATTAATATACTATATAGAGAAAAATCAGGGTACAGGAAACCAGACCGAGCTCACACCCCACTTCTTGGAAATAGCCTGGATGTAAGAACTGAAGCACTCACTGGGTTTGCCTAGGCTGAATTTCTACTTCTACAGCTAATTAAAACCCTAATTTTCAAATAAACCTACAGAAGCTAGATGACCACTTTTTCAGCCATCAGCAGGTGACTGACTCAGCCTGGTTCACAAGCCTCAATTCCGTATACAAGAGAAATGAAAAAACACCCTGAATTGTAAGCAATCAAAACACCATCAGAAACTAACACCACGGTTTAATTAAAAAGGAAAATCCATAGTAACTCACTTTTTCCTTTCCACTCCTCACACCACAAAGTAAGAGGTAATACAGAGAAGCAACTAAAACGAAGTCACCTTTTGCCCTTGGGGTGTCCTGAGTAGAACTTTTACCAGAGAAATAATTAGCTTCAGATTTCTCATTTTTCTCCCCTTTGTCATACTGAAATTGCTTCTGGTCTTCCTTTAGAAACAATGCATTGTCTTGCCTCTTCAGTTAACCCTGGGCTTCTAAGACTCTTAGTAATTTTGTTATTTAGTAAAAATGGTAAGACCACATAGCTACAAGGCCACCATCCCTATTTGATTAGGACCTTGAATAGGACTGGAAACCAGCCTGATCTCATGAGTTACAGTGAACTTATATAGCCTCTGAGATAGGGTGACCGGCCTAAAGTCAAACCGTGGGTGCAAATAATTGTGTCTGTGACCACAGGGTGCACCTCCTGTTCCTGCAGGGAGGGTAACAGGACAGAGGATTCGCTGGACACGAGTGTACTAATCCTGCTGCAAAATTCAACATTCATCCTACTTTCCAGCCATGATCAGCCCTCGGAAGAAAGCACACCTGCTCTTCTGACCGATGAACAAATGCAGCATCGTCTACCCAGAGAGACTAAAACCCGGCACCCACGGCTCTGCAGGTTTGCCAGCAAAACCATCTGGCAATCACACTTATCACATCCAGAGGCTCAGAACAGGAGACGAATGAAACAGACCTATAGCAGCAAGTCAAAATGTTCACACAAATAAAATACTCAACGTCACTTCCAAACCATTCACAGTCACTCCCACGCACGTCCCCATGATGTGGCAAACACAGGCATCTGGTCAACACTGGATTCCAGTAAAGCAAACACAAGTGAGGTTCAGAGTAATTACATATCCACATCCAAGGACTCGCTGAGGCTCAGGAGCAAGAGAAACGGAAAGTGAGGCTCCGTCAAGAGCTTGGGGGTGGGTTCAGTGAGCAAGGTGGACAAAATGCCAAACCACAGTCAGGAGATGGCTTGAGCATCACTCAACAGAGACGCCTTCCCATTGGTGAACACCCCACAGAACCCTCGCCCAGCAATCACGGTGGCACCCAGGAGAAGAAGAGAGAGAGAGAGAGAACTCTTACTGTAGCCCTCGGGAGTGGCTGAAATCTGTCAGATCCGAGTCTTCATAGTGCGGAGTTATCATTCCCAGCCCGCTGTCACTGAGCATGCGTTTCCGGAGGGCGGGATTCCACCAGTCTGTCATTCTGCGAGGAAGAAGAGCACCTGACAGTCAAGCATCCAAAGTCAGCCCCAGGTTTAGGCTGCTCTTTCTCAGGGTGACTCAGAAGTATCAGCAACGGTCAAATAAGTGAACGGGCTTGAACAAGGACGAGGGCTACTGCATGTGAACACGTCTGTTAGTGCTGCATAAGTACGGGTGCAACTTGCAAATGCCACCTAAGTGCACGTGTGTGTGTTTCCCAGGGAAATCCTCGTCTTAACTGTATCACCTCCATCTATGAGGAAACCACTGAAGTTTATTAGACTTCACAAGGGCAAAGATTCTTGTGTTTTTATTTCCGCACTGTTGTATCCCAAGTACTTATACTAGTGTCTGGCGTGCACACACACACACAGCTCTCTAAATAAATCTTTTTGAATTTTTGAAATAATTTAGAAATACTGCTATTTCAATGGTTCAACATGGTGGTTAAAACAGGCATGGACTCTAGCATCAGAAAACCTGGGAATAAATCTCAACTTTTCCCTTTTATTTTCTGTGTAATATTGGCTAAGTTACAAAAACTCAATTTTGTTATCTATGGACAGATAGTAACAGCACCAAATCTGCAGTCACTTTGAAATGATGATGATGATTTCAATAACATAATATGGAATGAGTGTCTACCAAGTGCCACAGACTACCCTAATTTTCCATATATTAATTCATTTAATTTTCAAAGTAGGTATTATCCCCTCCATTTTTACAGATGAGGAAATAAGGACAGAGACTTAAGATGAGTAAGTCACTTTGAAGTAACAGGGATATCAGAAAGGCCTTTAGGACACTATGTGGCTCATAATAATTCTCTGATATTTCATAGTTATTGTTGTATAATCTACTTGTCTCAGGCTGCCTAAATATTGCAAAACAAAAAAAAAGGAGGAGGAGGAGGAAGTGAAGGAGGGAAAGAAAAATAATCGTCAAACCACCAGGGTCAGTTTTTACTTTTAATACAGGCATGACAGATGCACATGCACAAACGCAAGTACTAGTGGTTTCTAGTTTGGCAGGAGGTGTGGGTGTGGCGGGTAGAGGAGGCTCAGACATGATATGGATCTGGGTGGGAAAGAGTCATTGCAGCCAGCCCTTCCTCGGTCAGACTTGTAATGGAACCAGCTACACTGTCTTCTAAGGAGACACAGGAAGCCCTATTTCAAAATAGTTTGATTGCATTAGAAATGTCAAGTGCAAGGCCAACCCAGACATGGATGACCCCTGCGGCCAGCCTCACCACCACAGCACCAGGGAAGAAGCCCACTCACCCTGAGGCTTGCTCCACCACCAGATCAGGCATTCCTGGAGGCGTCCCCGCCTGCTGGGATAACACCATATCTGGGTCCAGAATAAAAATCTCATCTTGCGAAATCTCCATCACAAAGTGCAAATGTTCCTAAGGAAGAAAAAGAAGTCTGTCAGATGATTAATGGAATGTTCAAATGCATTATCTGAAGAAATAACAAAACAAAGCCTGCTTGGTCTTGAGGAATAATGAAATTTTGTGACACAGAATGACCACAGTATATTTTCAAGAGGCCTGACCAGTGGACATCCCTCCTGAAGCAACACGCAGCAAGAGGCTGATGAGGCGGAGAGTTGAGTCCCTCTTGGTTTGGGACTCTCTGACCAGGATCCTGATAGGTGTAACCAGAGATGCTCCTGCCTCTTCTGCCCAAAAACTATCAAAGAACGCACCTTGGGCCAGTGTGTGTGTGTGCGATGACCTGGACTTCCACCCCCAGGATCCGGTCACAGCTGAGTGGCATGACTGACAACTGGTTTTATCCCTGGCTTCCATTCTGTACTAAGTTTTTCAGGAGAACATGGACAGTGGGAGCACTTGTTAGCATTGAGCAGAAGCATCTTTTTTCTCATTCTGGAAGTGGGGAGTTAAAACTAAGTTCTGTCTGTCTGTCTGTCTATCTATACACACACAAACTCAAAGGTGTCAAATTTGCTAACCAGAAATAAACTTTATAATGCATAAAATTTGGCTAAGAAGCAAGAAAAGTAGCCATGTGATGAAAATCTGGAGTGCAGGCTGATGACAAAATCTACACGCCTACTTATTTTCTGTCTTCATTTTCAAGGTTAATTAAGCCTTATTACCTTGTGTCCACAAATCACAAAACATGTGAAGACAACCAAAAAGTTCCTGGCTGAGACTGTGAGTACCCTTCCAGAATTTAAGGTGTTTTAGTTTAAAAAAATGTGTAAGATTACTTACCAATCAAGTATATTTACTTGGGAATTTTTCACTTTTATAAATAGCCTCAAGAAAACTTACCTGAGATCTGTCTATTCGATAAAAGCGATCAGCAGAAGTTGCTAGGGAAAAAAAAACGCATATGGCATTTAAAGAGTCCTGTGATCTGGCACCCGATTTACAACCTTCTCTCCTCCTATGACAGTCAAAAACCTGCTGGACTACTGGCCACTCCTGAAATCTATTTAGAAAAACTCAGGACTTCATGCCTCTGCCCCTGCCATCCCACTGCTAAGAAAGCCATTACATACGCCTCCCTAACTCACCTCTTCTGTGCGACCCTCCCTCAGCCCCACCTCCCTGCCCCACACAGAAGCTGTTGCTCCCTCCTGTATGCACACTTGCCTTTTGTGTACACTTCTTACGGCAACTACCTTCACAGAAAACTCTGAGACTAACATGTCTGCCTCTTTAAAGGTCTGTGTTTCATTTATTATTCTAACCTCCAGGTATTAGCATAGAACCTTAAAAAGAGCTGGGACTCAATAGGTATTTATCAAGTCAATAAAGCTAGAAAAAAACTGGAGGTAGCCTGACTTCCCGAGGAAGTGATGCTCATTTTGGAAAACAGCTTGAAGATGCAGAGCCAGGGACCACACCTGGTATTAAAGGAATCATTTCACTTTAAAATTGAGTCCCCAAAGTCCTGTCTGAAGACAGCTAAAACAGCAACAACAAAATTTATTGACGCACTCCTATAAGGGATGGGGCTGCATCTGTAGTTTGAGAAAAAAACAAACCTTAATGACAGGCTTTGGGTTTCTGGAAATTAATCTGATTATTCTTAATATTCAAAAGAATTAGGTTCTTCCTCATTTAAATCTAACAGGGTCCAAATATAAACTAATTTTTCTACAAAGTACATAATACTAGAGGGAAAAACTCAAAACACAAATAATCATTCAAAAATCATAAATATTTAACAAGTAGCTTCTCTCCAAGGGAAATGAGCTAAGAAACAAGACAGTCATGGCTCCTGCCCTCCAAAAGCAACAAGGGAATAAAATCTGCCTGAGAAGGACTTTCAGTACTTTGTTCTTTTAACCATGACAGCAATCACCTTTTAAATGTTTTCAATGAAACTATTTCTAGAGTAAAACTAATGTCTAGGTTAAGACCATTAACCATACTTGTAATTTTATTTAAGACTGTATGTAGGTAACAATTCATACACATTTTTCTTAATTTTGTTAAATGTAAGTTATTCCTCTGTGGGTTCAGAAAAAAATCGATTATGTTTCTCATCACTAGGGAATAAAGGAACTGGAGGAAAAGCAGTATCAATGATTTTCAGAGGCAGCTGACAAGCCCGCAATGAAAACCTATGTCATGATTTATGTGGGTTAGATTTTATATAGATACAAGTGCTCATCTTCATAAAACGTTCATACCCTCACATATCCTGTCATTCTCTTTTCCACATTTATATCCTTTCAGATGCACACACAGGTAAACAAAAGAAAGGTCTAGAGTGAAAGCCAATTTGTCCACATGGACAAGAGAGATACACTGGGACGACAGAAGCAGGAACGTACTGTAAAATGGGTAACTGGAGAAAAAAGTGGGATTAGGCAGCATCTAGGGAGGGAGTGATGGAAACTGGGTCATTAACAATCAGAAAACAACTGGCCTATTATGCATTCAAAATCTCATGCTCAGCAGAGCAGATCTGACTGCAACTGAAAATGCCTACCCTTTCACAAAAATTTATACCTCATATTGAAATGATGGTTTTACTGAAAATAATGTGAAAGTTCCATAAAATGCAAACATCTAACATGGTACCTACCCCATGTTGATGGAATCCATCTACTGGCCATGTTTTAGGAAAAGGGGCACTGTAAGGGGGATGTTATCTTAAGCAATTTGAGGCTGAGAAGTTTGGCCAAAGTTAACCAACTAGCTTTGAGGGAAGCAATTTCAGGAAACTGTGTTGTAACATCAAGTCCACGTCATTTGAGATGCAAATACCAATTACATGGTGCCACATGGAGAGTTTCTGAATAATCTTGGAAAACTGGAGTCCACTCTATTCATCAGTGCCTTGCCCTGTGGCTTCCCCGACCCTCACCACTCAAGGAAATACAGAAACACTCACCGTCTAGAAAGCACCACCGTGGGGAGAGTCTCTGGGCTGAGAGTGCCCTGGGGAGGGAGGTTTCATGGTCCTGGAAAGAGACACACACATCCTCGTGGCTCCATTTGAACGACCTGAGGGGCGTCCCTCACTCCACACTCCGCCCTGGTTCTAAAGGTGAGCATCCTTTCCTACACAAAGTGCTGATGAGAGACCAACTCATACTTTTCACTGAAAACACACACATGGGATCTGCTTTGAAATGAATTATTTCACATAACAACTCTCACATACAATTTCCAGGAGGTTTTCAATTTTCCCGTTAAACATTCATAAATTCTGCAACTTGGGAACACTGACTCCTTTGGGGAAATCTCTTTCCCTTTATGAATCTGGAGAACTGCTGGCAGCTGGCTGTCATTTACATGTCAGTTCTCTACATAGGTACCAGCATGTCCCCGACTCAAAGAATCTCTGGCAATAATAATTAAAAAAAATAAATAAAAAGCACATTCTAGTTTACAACACATGATGTGGTATATTCTAGCCCTGGCTCAGAGTGAAACTGAGATCACTGACAGAAATGGGACAGAAGAAGAGGGAGGCCAGGTCTCTGTGGGGAGGACTCGGGGAGTTTAGTTTGACCCTTATTTGAGATTTGAGATGTGCAGATATAAGGAGCATGCCTGGAGTAAGGCTGAGTGTGCAGGGTCTTGTGGGTACAGAGGGAGACAGGAGAAGGAAGTGAGAGTAACACAGAAGAGGTAACAAGAGAGCCAGTCAGAGGTTGCACTGGCTTCTTTAGGGGTTTAATCTGCCCCACGTGATTCTCAGGCAGAGCTTTTACTTAAATCAGTGGTTCTCAAAGTATGAACCTGGACCAGCAGTATGAGCTGGGAAGTCAGAAACACAAATTTCCAGGTGTCACCCCAGATGTACAGAAACCCTGGGGGTGACACTCAGCAATCTTTTAGGTGAGGCTGATATATGCTGAAGTTTTAGACCCATCAGCCTGAAGTTACAGGGACAAAAGGAGGTCCATTATTAGAAATCTTGGGGATATAGATTTTTTTAATATGAATGGATTCTGCAAATTAAATAATTGATAGAGGAAAAACGGATCTCACTCAGAACTGGTACCACAGTTTATATTTAGAGACACAGACTTGATACAGCTATGGATACAGAGGTAAATGCATATTCCTCTGTTTTGAATTGGCTTTGAGTCAAATGAAATCTTGACATGTACCTATTTTTTGAGAACTATGTTTAACATTTTGAGAATTGTATTTGGACACATGGTATCTTATTTTAAAGGAACTAAAGGCTCTTAAGGTAGTTTTATAAAATATGTAAAGCTACCAACATGTCTCGGTTTGGTGAGAACTGTAATTATAAATCAAGAAATTTGAAAGTGATTTGAAATATCTGGTGGCAACTATGGAAGACAAATAAAGATGTCAAACAGAAATGTGAATGTCTTCTCTAAGACTAAAGGGACTTAAACACCAAGGATACTTTCTGAATTTTGATGTCAAATGTGCTACAGAGACCACCATGAAAAAATATCTGAATTTCCTCAGGTAAAAAATGACTCTGAAATACAGAAATGCTTGATTTAACATTTGAAAATCCTAAAGATTGATAACGTCATTGCTAGAATATTCAAATTCAAGAATGCTGGGTGTTATTTAGTTTAATAAAATGCAGATCGATACATTGCCTCAGCCACATAACTAGCTTATGTAATACTGATATAATTGTTTACCTTTTTATATGTGCAAGTGTCTGTGTATCTGGAGAGTTTAATGCAGGTGCCTGCCTTATTTTCTGTTCAGTTACTCACTTTGCACCCTGACCCACAAAGCACTTGATGTAACTCAGCTTCCTTACAGGGGTTTTGTTTACGGAGTATGTTACGTCTGCTCTGTGAAAACATAGTTTTTAAAGCCGTGGAGCTCTTTAAAATACTTCAGGTATGTTCAACAATCCTTGAACTCCCTGAAATGTTATGTAAGTTTAGTATGTCGACGTCTGTGTGCCTTTCTCACTGCTTTCTGTAGATTATCAAAGCGATCTGAGATCCCACCAAAATTAAACAGCTACTAATTTAAATAATCAAAAGCTTAGGTCAGAGAGGACTGAACAAAATCAGATGATTCTAATCACTAAAATGCCTTAACAATAAAAAACAGGAATTACTATTTCAAAGGTCCTGGCGATTAGAGTATATGAAGCACCTGAAGCTCCCTGAGCTGGTGGCTGTTCTCCTGCCACCTACCTCTCTGTTCTTCCTAAACCTCCTTTCCAGCATCTAAAATCAAGCCCCAAATGAAGAACTGCAGCTTTGAGAATTTAAGTAAACTCACAGAAGTATCCAGCTATTCAGTGGTAGAGTTATAATTCAGTTACAGCTCTCTATTACTACAGAACCTTGTATCCCAGGTTTTGTGGCTTCTAGAGGAATTAGGTAATATTGAAGGTTTTGAAGGATGGATGGGGATTGTATAGGTCAAGTCTGAGAGAAGGTTCCTGCCTCAACTCAAGCAAAAACATGAGGAAAGCAAAATTAAGAATGACCTTAATGGCTATGAAGACCTTCCTTTGACTCTGATGTTGAAGGATTTTCCCATAGTTTTAGCTTTTGCTAACTGTTAAACTAATTTTCAGTATTTCTTAAGAGGCTGTTCACTGCCTGGTAACTCAAGAGTTCTTCCTTTCCCATATTTCCCAGGCACACTGCTGCCTACTTGCCACTCCCGTGTACTCATCCGCTTAACAATCCCATAGAAATATGTTTGTCAGTGGGAACATCAGAGAACCACAATCCAGAGACAAGGAACAGAGATTCATGGAAAGATCATTCTGATTAGTTTCCATAACTCTGCTGTATGTGCCACGTGACTGCAGTTCTAAACCTCATACAAGTACGGCCAATATTAATAGGTGGCTTAGCATGTGACATAGTTATTTCTGTTACAACTTTATTTCAAATCTGCATGATGATGCTTATTGTAACATTGTTCTTTTTTAAAGGCAGAAACTGTATATAACCTAAATGTCTATCCACAGAGATAAAGTTAAACCTATAGCATGGAATAGAGCAGCAGTTTTAAAAGACTGAATTAGAGCTTCATTTATTAGCAAGACATAATGGCCATGGTATACTACTGTTAAAAATAATTGTAGTATAATACGTATAGTGAGTACATAGGAATGTATCCATTTTTATCTTTAAAACCCCACAAAACCCCATATGTGTATGCATGTATGTCTGTGTGTGTAGCTCTGTTATTAGTGAGGAGAAAGGTACAAAAGGGTACACACCAGAAAGGTATACTTTGGTGAGGAGTTAAGAGCCAAGCAGAAGTCTAGAACTGTGTACAACTGGAAAACTCAGATTAGCCAGGATTATAAAGCCTGGCCGACTTTAGGACACAAGTAGCTAATGAAAGTCAAGAGAAAGACCCTGAGGACTTAATAGCAAAGACAAATGTATAGTGGGATGGATTAAAAGTGGAGCAGCAATCAAGAGAAGCAGATTGTCAAAAAAAAAAAAAAAAAAAGGAACAGAAACTCAAAGCCAGGGTCTGTAAACTTCTTCACACTCTGATGGTTTCAGCTTACGGTGACCACAGAGGTGATGAGGCTCTTCTTACTCAGAGCTCGGGGAGCTCCTGCAGCACGCCTGCCTGTACCTCTGCTTCTCCTACTCAAAAAAGAATCAGACTACATGTGCGTGGTGATGATGTTAGCACAGAGGTAATACTGTACTGAACTTGCTGTGATTTTTGTCTTAAAACTCTCCACGCTAACACATTGTGGGTGTTACATCAGGTGACTTGTGTCCTCACAGAGGGTCTGGCACACAGGTGGCCCTGGCATCAAGGAATCCTGGTCTCAGGGACAGCAGGAGTGTGACCAACAATGCAGTGCAGACTGTGAATCAGACTTGAGCAGGAAAAGGGGAAATATGGAAACAAAACAGCCCCTGGCAGGAGATCAAGTATCGGCCCCCAGGATTTCATGGGGCCATGGATCCACAGCTTTCTGGACCCACTATGATGGAGATGCCAACAACCTTGTCACTACACAAGTGACAGTCAAACGGTCAGACGTATGTTTACTTTGTGAATGCTGCACATTAAAATCAATGTACCAAGACAGTTTCTGATGCAGCCAAAAAACAAGCTCAAAAATACGCACCTTTCAGTAATCCCTGACTGCAGACACTTAAGAAGTGTGACTGTGCAAAAACATCTATGTCTCGGGAGACAGCCACATAATTCCCTGAGCTGTGCCTCTAACCATCACGTCAACAGCTTTCAGTTCTAGTTTAGGGCTTCCTGTGTCCTCGGTCCTCTCAAACTGCATAATCAAATCAATGATTCATCAAAGAGATAAGATATGACTTGCTCATTTTGTGATGTTATTTTTCTTCCTGGAAATGGTATGATTTAGATGAATGCAACTGTCCCTGCTCTATGGTGTAGGCAGAATGGTATAACCTTGGACATAACCATGCTCCTGTCTATCTTCTAAAACTGCATGCTCTTTAAATGAATAATATTACTAAATACTACTTATTTCAAAAATCCCTGATATGTGAATTTTCTCTTTGGATATATGCTAATGGAAAATCTGTTTCTTATGCTAAAAATAGAGCATGCACAAAAGCAAACCTGGTATTTCTCATGTATATATTTTGAAAGTCAATTTGCATGAATTATATGTAACTGATAAGGAAATTATTTGAACCATTATCTGGCAAACATACGCCAACTTGCCTTTAATTTACATTCAATTACTTACAGCTAATGCACATAATTTAATGCCTGCATAGCAGCCCATATACATGCCAGTAGGTTATCCAATTAGGCAATATTCACCTAGTGTTTAACTACACCTTCACTGTGAATGAAATTTTTTCTTTCATAAAATTTCAGGAAGATGTAAGCAGAAGCAAAACAGAAGTGCCTATGAATTGGGAATCTCTGCTTCATTTAATAATGTCCAGTCAATAATCACTTTACTTTTAAACTTCTCTCTTAAGTACCAAATTTCCCATCTGCCTGCCCTGATATCTCCTCC